TAATAAGAGTTGAGATTGAGGGTGGACAGTGGCAGATAATGTAGGAGTTACTAGACCATGGTGAGGACTTAGAACAAAATTCAGTGTTTGAAAGAGTTTTAAGCAGGGAAGTGACTTGATCAGACTTAACTTTTTAAAAGGATTACTCTGAGTGCTATGTGAAAAATGGACCAGAAGGGAGAAAGAATGGAAAAGAGACCAATTAGGAGACTGCTACAATAGTCTTAAGTGCGAGGTGATAGTGGCTTAGACTATGACTAGGATGGAGGTAGCTAGAATTGGGTATATTTTGAAGGCAGAGTCAAATGGACTCTGCTGGATTGGATGAGAGGAAGTAAAAGCATTAAGGATGACTCCTAGGTTTTTCTTTTCTTTTTTTTTTATATCTGGGCAAAAAGTGACCGCTAGTCCCATTAACTGAGATGGTAAGATGGGCAAGATAGTGAGAAGAGTGGAATTGGGATGAACATCAAGAGTTCAGTTTTGGTTGTGTTAAAAGTTTGAGATGCTTATAAGACTTCAAATGAAGGTGTCAGGTAGGCAGTTGAATAGATGAGGCTAGAACTCAGGGAAGTCTGTGCCTGGAGAGGGGAGGGAGTGTCAAAGAATTGGTGTGGAGGTACTGGAGTAAGTAAACTGCTGGTGGTCAGAGGGTTGTTGTTAACTGCGCTCGAGTCGGCCCCCTATTCATGGTGACCCCATGCACATCTGACTGGCTGCAGATTGGACCACTGTGATCCATAGGTTTTCACTGGCTGATTTTCAGAAGTTGATTACCAGGCCTTTCTTCCTAGTCACACTTAGTCTGGAAGTTTCACTGAAACCTGTTCAGCATCCACTGAGAGACTGGTGGTGGGTGCACACATGAGGTGCATTGGCCAGGAATCTAACCTGGGTCTCCTGCATGGAAGGCAAGAATTTTACCATTGAACCACCAATGCCCCTGGTCAGAGGGCTAGATGCCGGAAATTAGAATTAATGGATGTAGTGCAGTTATTGGTAGTAGTAAGTTTTAGGGGAAGGTATGACTGATAGGTGTAAGAACAGCTTATTGGAGGCAGGAAGAAGTCAAAGAGCTTAGAGGCCAGGGTGTTGGATAGATCTGTATACATGGATGGTGAAGTAAAATAAGGGTGGAAAAATTAGTGGTAGGGAGAGAGGGCGGAACCAGGTGTTCACATCCTCAGTGAATGAGGGGAGTGACCAGGAAAACTGTACATACCTGCAACGAGGATTAGTATCACGGTAATAATCTGCTGACAGGATTTTAAGGAAGGGAAGGAGGAGCGGTGATCTAGAAGCAATAGGAAACAAGGGGGATAACACCCACTCCTGTACCTTTCTTATATGGGAGGGCAAGAAAAATATTGTGATTTACCTCACATGTATGTTACCTCTTAGAAACCATTTACCATTGATTACAGTTTGAATTTTTGACTTCACCACAGCTAAAGTGGTTTGCCTAGCTCCTGTCTAGGTTGGTAAGGGGAGAGATTCGTAGAGGTCTTATTTTAGATGGGGTGGTCAGAAAGTTCAAATCTCCATCATGTCTCACCTGGATGATTGTATAACTGCTTAGCTAACTGGTCCCTTGCTTACTTACACTCTTGCCCTGCTTGTGTTCTGTTCTCCATACAGACCAAAATGATCCTTCTGTCTAGGACTGAGTATTACTAGAATTTGCCTCTATTTTGTGCACAAACAGTTAATAACAACAAACAGTATTATTAGCTGATATGCATAGCAGAATGAGCTCAGGTCAGACTGTCTCATAATGTTATGATTTATGTGATCTGAGGATTTGGTTAAAATTGAGGTGAGTTGTTTTAAGTAATAGTTCTCCTTCTGAACATCTGTATGTATGACAGTAAGATTTTATCTTTCCTTGGAGGCCACATGGTGTTTAAACTGTTGAGAAGGCATATAATCACGGCACTTTATTTACTCTCATCTGGTCCATCTTAAGAGCAAGCACAGAACTTGATGGATGATAAGGCTTACTGTTTGACTTCTCATTTAGCATACAGAAAGAAGGTAGATATGTAGGTATCAGATCCTTTAGTTAATTTCTTAAACTTTGTTATTAATAAAACATTAGCACTTTAGTGTATACTACCTTTTTGTTTTGTTTGTTTGTTATGATAACCCTGTGAGGTAGTATTTCCATTTTCTAGATGAAGAAACAGATTTAGAGAGGTGTGGAGGATTTACCCAAGGACGTATGGTATGGCAGAGCAGGGACTGAAACCTCTTGAACAGTGGTATTCTGGTGCCAAGTCCTGTGCTTTTCCATGTATTGCAGTTCTGACTTCCTACTAGGTAGAGGAAATCAGCCCCAAATATATCAATACAGACTATGAAATAAATATTTTGTTAAGAAGAGAGCATTTCTTCTTTGGCTCACTTTGAAAATAAGTAGATTAAATTCCTAAGGCAGTGTAATTGTGCAAACTCAGTATTTGAGTTTTAGCTTTTGAAGTAAGATTTATTCTCTAGACTAGACTGATGGTTCCTAATCTTTTCATCACCAAGAATTCCTTTAATTATTTTTTTTGTACAGACTATCCAAATTCAAAATTTCTTTTTACCTTTTAAACAAATAGTATTTACCTGTCAGACTTGATTAAGTTTTTTTTAATCCACATTTTTATTATTGCTTCTAATCACCATGAAATAACTCTGTTCACTGAGTTGTAAAGCCACTGCTGTCGAGTTGCTTCTGACTCATAGTGACCATATAGGACAGGGTAGAACTGCCGCATAGGGTTTCCAAGGCTGTAAATCTTTATGGAAGCATACTGCCACATTTTTCTCTCGCAAAGCTGCTGGTGGTTTCAAACCACAGACCTTTTGTTTAGTAGTCGAAAGCTTTATAAACACTGTGCCACTAGGGCTCCTTGAGTTGATACAGTCTCAGCTAAAAGCAAAGTAACATTGTTTCAGTTAGCCTGTATGGCTTTCTTTATGTAATAAATGTATAATTATCTACTTGAGTTACTGAAATACTTGTAGTTTGTACGTACTTTTTAACCTAGTGATTAGAGGGTAGACTATGGAATCAGGTTGTCCTGGTTTTGAATCCCAGTTCTACTGTTGTAGAATTATATGATTTGGGGCAAGTTAAATCACCTCCCTAAGCTATATTTTTCTCACCTGTAAAATGACAATAATGCGTATCTTTTAAAGTTGTAAGGATTAAATAAATCTAAAGGGATAAGCAGCATAGTGCCTTGTAGGTACGTAATACGTGCTCGCTATATAAAAGCTGTTGTTGCTGCTGCTGTTATTACTATTACTATGACTCTTTTTATTTTGAAGGATCAGGAGTTAGCTAGATAAAGAAGGGGCAGAGGAGAAACAGCTGCTGACCAAAACGTTGGTGGTTTGAGTTTAATCAGAGGCACCTTGGAAGAAAGGCCTGGTGATCTACTTCCGAAAAATCAGCCATTGAAAACCCTATTGAGCACAGTTCTGCTTTGACATACATGGTGTTATCATGAGTAGGAGTCCGACTCTATGGCAACTGGTATAGAGATAGAAAGTAGATTAGTCGTTGCTTAGGGGTGGTGGGCTAGGGGGAGTGATAGCTAAAAAGTATGGAGTTTCTTCTTGAATACGTCCCCCCCAAAACAAAACAAAACAAAAGCAAAAAACACCGAAACCCAAACCCATTGCTGCTGAGTTGATTCTGACTCATAATGACCCTATAGGACAGAGTAGAACTGCCCCATAGGGTTTCCAGGGCTGTAATTTTTTTTTTTTCAATATTTTATTGTACTTCAGGTGAAGGCTTACAGAACAAATAGTTTCTCATGAAACAGTAGTACACATGTTGTTTTATGACATTG